ATGGATGTCCAGCAACGTAGTTGCTCCTGAACAGACTCAATCCCAGCTCCTAAAAGAACCAGATCTCTATTTCTGCATATTCTGATCTCTAACCTCTATAGAGACATTGTTTTAGTAGCACATAACATATATAACCTCATTTTCCAAGTCCAAAAATGTCTGATGGTTCAGTGTCAAGGAAACTGATGCTAGACAAACAACTGAACTTTAGATTAGATTTATAATGTAGATAGCATGTCTTGTGATTTTACTGCCGCTTCTGTGTTTATTTTGTAACACTCCCCCTCTCCCAATCCTGACACAGAGCAGTCTTAACTGAAATATATATTAACTGTGCAACAGGGTGCATGTTTACTCAGTAGTAAATCCCATTGAGTCCAATGAGGTTTACTGCTTAGTAGGCTTAATACTGGAATTGCAGCTTTGACATGCAGTACATAAAGGTTTAGACATGTGCAGTACTGTACAAGAAATAAGTGTTACTGCCTTTTTTACTTTCATTTGTATTAACAAATAAACATTAACTCTCAGAAGAACATAAATACACTAGCAGTTTCCTGATCCTTATACTAAGTACATAATACCTTATACTTTCCGAATAACTTTTAGAAACTCAAGGACCATTAACTTGAACCCATAATGGAAATCTTTTATAAACTCAAGGACCATAAAATATTTCAGACTTTAAAATGATTTGAAGAATAGTCAGATTAAGAATGATTATGTTGGTTTAGGATCCTGAAAAACAAAACTCTCTTCAAATGTTAGGATTGTAAACAAGCTGAAGGCATTTATATGAGGCTTCACCAAAATGTATCAAATGTCACAACTCTGACATCCAAGAAAGCTGTTTTTAATCAATACAGGAATAACAAACACAAAGCTATTTTCCACATTCATGTTCTTCTATGTAATATTTTTGTTTTCCTTTTAAGTAAAAGATCTTTTGACATGCCCTCCACCCTCAAAAGCTAAAACTGTAGACTGTGCAATGTGCTGCGAAAAATACCAGCAGCACAAACAGCACCACAATCCTGGCTCTCATGCAGCTGGAGAACCTTGATATATGATATACAATGTTAACAGATGCTTTTATAAGAATAATAAAAAGTAGTCACCACATCATGCTTATTCTGCATGGCTTCCATACTAGCTCCCCACCACCACCACCAAAAAACTAGTAATTATCCATTAACAACAGAGACATCACATATCTCTATAGATTCATATAATTGCTTATATCCAAAGCAATCAACTTTGTGACTTACTGTACATTTTCCCAGGAGTACTAAGAACTAGAATGGAATTTGCCCACATGGAACTACCAATTGTGATACATAAATACTAGATTCATTAAGGCACATCCCCTGATAGTTTCCTTGAACTCCCAGCTGCTACCCTTTTGTGGTTGCAAAAACATAATTTGCTGAGATTCCCATGCGGAGCACAAGGACAACCTGTTTTGGCACAAAAACCAAATCTCATGTCAGCTTCTCAATGAGCAGACTGGTAAAGTGAAGGACCATCCTGGAAAAGACAACCCCTCCAATTTTAAATCTAACAATAAAAATAAGTTTGTTTCCCTAACATAGTCCAATGACAGAAATTTTATGCAGGTCAATTAATTTATTAATGAATTTCATGTTGCACACCATTTTAACATGGTAAAATGCACTTGGAGGACAAGCAGAAAGGCTGATTGTCTGGAGTTTAATAAGTAGAAAAGTAGTGTCTCTGAAAAAGTTTAGCATAATCAGATATAGGCAGTCTGCCTGACCTATTTCAACTATGGCCGTTATTACATTATTTCAACTGGTTCACCTGGTGCAGGGAATTGCTTTCTTCACTAACATGTGAATAATGTAAACAATGTATTCAGTTTCAGCCTTCCCACTGGATACTGGCATCAAAACATGGCAGTGGGAGCTTGGCCTCAAGGGTCCACCTAAGAAGTCATAATATGTATTTCAGTCTACAGTACTGCTGGAACTTATTACCACCCCATTTCTAATGATGCTCTTCAACTCATAGCTTCCATTATCCCCAAAGGACCCGCCCATAATTTAGGAAGGAGCAGATGGAATATTCAATGTCTCCTAGTTTGAGATGGTTTCTTTATCAGCTAGATAAAGAAAGTAGATTCAATTAAAGCATTCACCTAGTAAATGGCTACATTTCCTACACTAAACAAAATACCAACTACCCCATAAAGAGTAAGACCAATGAGAGACACATGAGCTAAATCTTCCCTTTGGTTATGGGAAACTAATAGTCCATTAGGATACATAAATGTATCCTGGTGACCAGCCTACAATGCTGCAAAGAGAAAGACTTCTTCAAAAATGTCTAGCATGATAGCATCTTGGACAATGACATTTATATATTCAGGTCTAACCCAAAGCAGACATTTGGATTTTGGATATAAAGAAAACAGGTAATAGAATCATCATCTTATCTGCACATCATATTAAATGACCTTATAGAGATATTCTGAGGTTTGCCTACACACATACACACAGGAAGTCAGTTGTCTGTGCATCACCGGTTATTTCTAAAATTAGACTAAGAAGTTAAACGAGTTAATTAAACAATACAACATTGCAGATCGCTATCATGTTTTGAGAGCTTAGTAGACCTTTTTTTAAAAACAGCAACAAATACTTTATCAACTTTCAGAAATTGTTATGCATTAATTTGTACCTGTTCTTTATAGAAATCGGGGGTGGGGGGGAGTTTTGGGAGTTGGTTGGATCTGGCCTGTGCTTACTTATATCCAAATATAGGAAAATAAATTCTTAAGAACAGTTGAAGATATATTCCAACTTCTAGATTCTCTCTCCATGCTATTGGAATATTAAAGGAATGTTCCCACGAATAAGTGAAAGGAGCTAGATTTCTCAAAACAAAACAGGTCTTTTCTTCATCTGCTAAAGCAATCCCATGATCCAAGTTCTTTGAATATATGAACAGAAGACAGATCACCGAATAGGAGAAATGGTGAGGGTACGCGTACATACATATCAGCTTATTAAAATTGTGAAAGCGTATCTTCTGGGATAATAAAGAATAATGGAGACCAGTTTTAACCTGTGAAGTCTGATGTAGGCATTAGGCAGCAGTTCACTTCAAACCAGTTTAAAAACCACTCATTTTTAAATGTCTCGCATGCACACAACACATGTTGAGAGAAGGCTACTGAGGGAAGTCAAAGCATCTCCTAACTCCTATCAGCCCCAGAAAACATGGCCAGTAGCCAGGGATTATGGGAGCTGTAGTTCAACAACATATGGAGAGTCTAAGGTTCCCCACACCTGTTCTATGAAGTATCCTTGAAGTCTAATAGTTTGAGAATGGGCCCAACTTTTTTAAATATGTTTTTAGACTGAAAGAAAAAGTGCCATCAAAATTATGGAAGATGTACTCTATAGAGTACTAGTTGAATGTTGGACTTTGCTCTTAACTGGGTGCACCAAGCCATTCTGTTTTAACTGCAAAGGTAAGCCAGTCTTTGCTCCAATCATTAATAATCATTAATAGCGGGACTAAATAATTCCAGGCAGAAAAACCAACACTGTCAACTTTGTTAAGGAAAAATAAAGTGTGAGAGATAGTTGATATAACCAGTTTTTTGTGTTGTTGTTTTTTTAACTCCACAAGGTTGGTAATAACGATAGGTTTGCTTGCAAGATGAAGCCATACCAAGATCTCATTCTATACTACAATAACCAGGAAAGGCCAGAGTGAGTTAAAAGACACCAAGCCCAGGACCAGGTGAGCCTCCCTGGAGACAGCATTTTAGACTTGGGGTGTCTGCACTAAAAGGCCCTATTCCTTATCACCTTACATCTGAAAGGAGACACACCCAGAGAGGACCTCGAATGAAGATCTGAATACTCATGCAGGTTATATGAGGAAAGACAGTCTTTGGTATCACTTTTAAAACTCTCTAGATGGAGCAGGGTAAAGCCCCAAAATGGACCATAAAGGAATTTGGTGTGTTTAAAACTGGTTACATGGGCTAGGTTTCTGGAGCCTAAGTTAACTATCTAGCTGCTGTGCTTTGTATTACCTAAGGTTCCTGAACCATCTTCAAGGGCAGCACCACATACAATGCATTGCAGTAATCCAAATGGATTAGTGTTTTTATACAACTAGTTAATGCCATAAGGTTATTAAAAATATACCGTATGTACTAGCTAATGCTAGTCATGATATGGTATGAATGCCCTTGAACAGGACAGCTGTTGAGAGAGAATGCAGCTGCAACAGGTGACACATTTACCTTACCAAAAGGCCTGAAAATGCCAAGTTGTTCAATGCCAAGTAGATTTCAATTTTTACATTCAGAAAACTAAATGAAGCAATACGCTTCTCAAAACAGCCTTCAGTGAAGAAAAAAAATCCTGTTTTTTCCTTGGCAGGAAAACAAGGAGCAGTGCAATTACCATCTGCTCTAGGCTTTAATCATTTGCTGGCAATAAGAAGGTAAAAGAAACTTGATCATACTCTTAGACAGTAAGACTGAATATGCACTAATAAGAAAACCTGAATTCAGTTTTAATTAAACAAAGCATCAACAAGGTACCCCCCTCTCTCTTCTGTATTTTATTTCTGTTAGTATGGATTCTCTGGAAAAAGACTCTTTTATATGAAGAGACCCTGGTACTTCAACATTTTTAAAAATTAAACTTATAATACATGGGTAATGAATACTGCATGAGAAGCATATTTTTATTTTTTTTAATTAAAGCCTCATTCATTGATCTATTGATAAATAAACCAGATTTCCATAGAAATATTGCAGGGCAACATACAACATAAAACCACAACACTGACAAAAACAACAGGTTAAGCTGTTAATCTTCATCACTCAACTAAGAGAGCGAGTATAAATTAAATTATTCAAAGCAACTGACTTCACTATTACTATAGGGAATAATGCAAACATAGTTTATTGTTGTATGATGGGAGATGTTTATTTTTATCTTAACACTGCTTACCTCTGCTCTTGTGGATGATCTTCCACATCCTCCTCTGATTCAGCCTAGTGGACAGAGAAAATACCATGAAATATAAGCAGCAAATATAAGTTTCCAGCATACATTTGTATTTTAACAATCCCAGAGCTGTTTAAGGATATTCTGTTCAGTGGAACCCCCTATACTGAATGATGTTTGAATCAGCCCACTTCATTTTGCTAAGCACTTCATTTTGCTAAGCACTGAACACCACAAATTTAAGAACCAGTACAAGTGAGTTCAATATAGCTGAGGAAATTGCAGAGTCTGGTTTATCACGTTTATCAGTTTAACAGTGGTCAATAATTTTAAGCAAACAAATAATACCTTATTCTAAATTAAATTCATTCATCTGTCCAGACTACATTTTTTTAATTAAAAAAAAGTTAAGATGTGAAAAATAGCAAGCATCACTACTGAGATTAGTAAAAGCAGTCAGTATTATTTCAGAAGGTAGCATAAACAGCCAAGTATATCACTCCAAATGGTCTTCAGAAAACCCCACAAGCACTGAAGCAGCATTTCCTAACCTTGCAACCACCATAAATTGTTGGGACTATTTGCAGGCTGGAGGGTGCCAATTTGTTTTTTCTCCCCAGTACAACCTTCCCTCAGAACTGGAATTTTGAAATACTGAGTCATTTTCATCCTTTCAGACAACAGTGCCTATCAGTCCTCACCACTGCTGTGCTGTTTGGGACTGATGGGAACTTGAGTCCAACAACATACAAATTTGAGGAACCACTTAAGTACCTGTGAACATCCAGGTACTTGGTTCTAATGAAAAATATTTTGTTTTACTTGAGGTACCTTAAGTGCCAGGATGAAACGCAACTGTTGCTTGTCGCCCACCCAAAAACCTAAAGTGTGTGCATTTAGACAAAATGAATCTGTATCCGTCATCCAGAGAAAACAGATGTACAAGCCATAAAATGTACCCATATAAGTTTTGCTTCTTCTGAGTTTATATAAAAACAAACCACCTCAAGTGACCAACATCCTAGCCTATCTTAGAAGGCCGGCCCAAGGATAAAATGATACAACACTTCATAGGTCAAACATATGCCTTTTAATTCTTGTATTTTAGGGTTGCCAAATTTCATATTGACACCTGCAAACTTTGTTGAGCTTTTTGGGGGTAACCTCCCCCCCATGGTGTTTTAAAGCTTTTTGGAGCTGTTTGCACTGCTTTTTCCATAGCACTACCATAGATCCAGGTTTTCCTGACTAAACTCCCCTGACGCCATTTTTACACCTGAAAACCAGGACATGTCAGGAATTTTCCTGACGTATGGCAAGTCTATTGTTTTTCTACCCCTACCTCACTCCTATGTGTCCTCAGATACAGGAATGAGCAGCAAGAATAACTCATGTTTAACAAGTAATGTGGGGGGGGGGCATCCAATGGTTTACATGGCAGCAGGCCAATCTGCAATGCCAACTCTATTCTCATGGAAGTTTGACCAACTCAAACTTCCATGGGCAAACTTTGGGCACCACAGTTCAAGAAGGACACTGACAAACTGGAACGTGTCCAGAGGAGGGCAACCAAAATGGTCAAAGGCCTGGAAACGATGCCTTATGAGGAACGGCTAAGGGAGCTGGGCATGTTTAGCCTGGAGAAGAGGAGGTTAAGGGGTGATATGATAGCCATGTCCAAATATATAAAAGGATGTCATATAGAGGAGGGAGAAAGGTTGTTTTCTGCTGCTCCAGAGAACCAATGGATCCAAACTACAAGAAAGAAGATTCCACCTAAACATTAGGAAGAACTTCCTGACAGTAAGAGCTGTTCGACAGTGGAATTTGCTGTCAAGGAGTGTGGTGGAGTCTCCTTCTTTGGAGGTCTTTAAGCAGAGGCTTGACAACCATATGTCAGGAGTGCTCTGATGGTGTTTCCTGCTTGGCAGGGGGTTGGACTCGATGGCCCTTGTGGTCTATTCCAACTCTATGTTTCTATGATTCTAACGCCTTTGAACACATATGAATACATGCATTTGCAAATGCGTGTTCAGCAAGATTATTCCGGCATCCTTTATTTAATGTTCAGCATCTTATTAACTCCACAAGCTAACTATACCATGATATCATTTCAGATATCATTTGATTTCACTATGTCAAAAAACTAGCTATCTATTCACTGTACAAAATTTAGTTGAGAATAATATAATATGTGGATAGGATACCAATGCACAGTCACTGTCAAGATAAGGCTGGAAGAATCACTTACAAACTGATGCTGTCCACCTGTTCTGCAGTTACAGCCAACCAAATGTCAATAATAAAAGCACCATCCAGTTTTTGTTTTTGTTTTTTAAGTTGGGTAACAGCCTACATATCAGCAGAAAATTACAGCTGCTTGAAAGCTCCTGGGAGAGTCCCGGAAATCACAGATTCATAAAAGATGGGAAGTGGCATTCCATTCATAAGCTCAGACTGTGGGAAACCAATGTCCCCAAAGCCCATTGCTGGCAACCCAGTGACTCATGGCAAGTAGTGAATCCAGTGTCATACATTTCGGAATCTAGGTAGATATGCTCAAATTATATGTATACCTCCCAATTCTCTCTTGAAGAATTAATCTCTGTCAACAGGCATTGCTTCGGACCCAGGATTCTAAAGATTTCCTAAGGTGCAAAGGTTTTCCTGCCCTCCCTTTGAGGAAAATAGCAAGAAACGTTAAAGCTGCATTTAAGACTATGAGAACATAGCTTCCACATTCTGAGCTTTCATTCATTATTCCTATATGATACATCATTGATAAAAGACAAGAGAAGAATCCATTTTCCCCATGAAACCACATGAAACCTCTGAAAGTTGCAACAGTTTCAACCATAGCTTTGTAACACAGGTGTGTATGTGCGGATGTGTGCAAATAACACCCTTAAAATAGACAAACGGGTGCATTCTCCTTACAGTTGGCTATATTATTGCATGCAGGTTTGACGGCCAATGCCCTTAAGGATTTTGCTTTCCCCTTCAAAATGTTTCTAGGTTTGCTCAATTGAACTATATAGACAGCCCTAATAAAAACATTTCGTGAATCCGTTGGCTATGGGGAAATTTAGAACAAAGCACTTTTTAGCTCCGGGTCATGGCTTGTGGCATGTTATCAGGATAAAGTTAATCTGTAATGGAGTTTAATTGTGGTATAAATGTGATTTAACACAAAGACTAAAACGACCTTCAGACTCCTTGTAGGCCTGTAATTCTGTAACCAGATTCTGCTATGCAGATTCCATATTTAGAGTTATTTTAAACCATCAATAGTAGTTCTTCAGTTTTTTTAACCAATCTCTCTCTCTCTCTCTGAAAGTTTGCAACAGTGTATTGTCAAAATACAGATGAAGGAAAGTATTACCAGCAGTCCTACACAAGCTAGTGATTAACTTTATCTGGCTATTACTCTTCATGCAAGAAGCAAAAACAAAGATAGGGCTCTAATCAGCTGGCACCCTCTGCACCAATTTCTTCATGTATCTGGGGCAGTCTTCATATTTGGAGAAGCAGCAGCAGCTGCTGCTTTATGTTTCCAGACTTGGCTTTGTCCAGCTTAATTTTTCTTGGTTTCAAAGTTTCTTTTTCTTTTGTTTCTCATTAGTTTCAAATTATAACTGTATCATATATTTCGTATCAGTCTGATTCCAAAAACTTTAGGAAATGCCCACAGTAGCTTAAGTAAAATAAATGTGGAAGCTTGCTGATAATTGAGACAAAACTGTGTTTTTAACACCTTCACAGCTGCTCCATTTTATTTAATCTTTGCCCATAAGTACCACCAAAATAAAAAAGGAAATACCAGTCCTTTAAAAAAACAAATTAACCATTGCTCCTACAAGGGAAAGTTCAAAGGAAACCTCTTATTTGTGGTTGCTTTTATATGCATTTTGATGGCATATATTCACATACAGCAATCACTGTTGCAGTGATGTATAAATACAAAAGCATGCTTGTTTAAAGCACACCAAATACAATTCAGGTTCGGCTCTCCTTGGGCACCATAAAGTGCAGTTAGATGTTAGGGGCAGGGAGGGCATCAGATATAGCCACTGCCACAAGGTCATTCCTACTTCCCTGAAAATTAACTGGAAATCATTTATTGAATGGGCTAGGACTCCCTGGAAGCCCTCGTCATACAGCTGAGGGCACACAAGGAAATTTAGGTAACCACAGACACATATATGTATATGCAACATTTCTGTACAAATTCATAGTGGATAGGAGGGCTTGTTCGCACAGACATCACTGGGAGAATGGTCACTGCACAACTGCTTGGCAGAAAGTGAGGGTCATCTCCATGCAACCTGGTAAGCTTAAGTTGGCTATTTTTTTCAACTTGCAAATGACTAAAAATAGGTATACTATGGCACAATATTATTTCAGTAGAGCAGTTATAGCACTGCCTCATCCCATATTACTTGACCACATTTGCACTGTATCATATGCACCCAAATGCACTGATATTTCCTTCAACCAGTGTTCAGGTAAGTTTTACTCAGACCATTTATGTCTGGTCCATTCATTTCAATGGGTCTACTCTGAGTAAAACTTAGTTGCATACTACCTTTTACCTCTACATATAGAAAAGGTCTCTTCTACCCTCGGGTGGCATTCCAAAGCCATCCAACAATGACTTTGTTAAATAATATCTCTGGTGGCCGGGTATTTTCACAAAGAAAAACTTAACCCTCAATTCACTCTTGGGCCTTTAAAAACATTTTGTTAAATATATTTCCTGCACTGCAGGAGGTTGGATTAGAAGATCCTTGGGTGTACCAATTCTACAATTCTACGATCTTGGCACTGGAATTTCACACAGGCTGAACAAAAATTGGCAAGCCATAGGGAGAAATAAAACAATATGACTCTAAAAACTAAATCCCTTCCTTGTAAGGCATTTTAAGAAGTAGTCAAACAAAGATCAACATGGCCCTTCTGTTTGGCATGCACTTCTCCCAGCAGCTACAGCAAAGAATGATGAAGATCTGTCAGCAATTCACTGCTGCTTCTTAGAACTGTCAGCAGTGAGATGTCTAAATGAGTTTGACTCTATTTTGATACTAGTATGTCTGCCAATAAAAAAAAAATGAGCAGGAATTCATCACCTAAAAAGTTTTCAAAGGGATGTACAGTGGTACCTCGGGTTAAGTACTTACGTAATTCGTTCCGGAGGTCCGTACTTAACCTGAAACTGTTCTTAACCTGAAGCACCACTTTAGCTAATGGGGCCTCCTGCTGCTGCCGTGCCACCGGAGCACGATTTCTGTTCTCATCCTGAAGCAAAGTTCTTAACCTGAAGCACTATTTCTGGGTTAGTGGAGTCTGTAACCTGAAGTGTATGTAACCCGAGGTACCACTGTAATACAATACACTAAGGAAATAAGAACTTTCCTTTTCTAATAGCTTGGGAAATGTTCTTGGTAGAAAAGAAGAAAGACTATTTTATGTTGAAGTTGAAAGAATTATTTTCCCTATACTGGCGTACAAGAAACAATATTTACAGATATGCTACACACACACACACACACACACATAAACACATTGCATAATAATGAAATGCCACATTGCATCCACCACAAAAAATCTCAAATAAACCTCCAAAAGGCAAATGATGACCTCAGCATGCTCTGCTGATACAGAGACTCCTGGGGGGAGGGGCTGAATGGAGTGATGAGGGCCATGAGTAGAAGCACTCAACACTGCAACATTTTATCACAGGATCCTACTTGCGTATATCTAATTGCCCAAGTGTTCCCACCTAAAACAATCCTAGAATAGGTCAAGGAATCACTAGCTGACCTCATCTATTAGGTCATTATGACTCTGAATTATTTAGGAAAGAATAATCTCAGTGGCACACCAAGCCACCACTCTGCCAGTTCTCAATCTCTGTTCACCTAACTCCCCTCAATATTATATACCAACTTTAACAGCAGCTAGAAACGTAGAATTGTAGAGTTGGAAGGGGTTATGATGGCCAACAAGTCCAACCTTCTGCAATGGAGGAATATTTTGCCCAACGTGGGGCTTGAACCCACAACCCTGAGAGTTGTGCTCTACCAACTGAGACATCCCAGGTGTCTGGTAAGAAGACCCAAAACAATAAGATAGGGTACAATAAACTAGGCTGGTCAGAATCCCTTTGGATCAGAACACACCAATGTAGTTAACCAAATGACCAGATTTTATTTACAAAACACATGGAACAGGGAATTACAGCTAACTAAATAAGCAAAGAAAATGTTGGTTCTAAACTTCCCCTAACACAGTGTTTCCCAACCTTGGGCCTCCAGCTGTTTTTGGACTACAACTCCCATCATCCCTAGCTAGCAAGTCAGGGATGATGGGAATTGTAGTTCAAAAACAGCTGGAGGTCCAAGGTTGGGAAACACTGCCCTAACGTATGTGACAGCAGGTCATAACTTTCATGCAGCAGATACAAATTAAAAGGCAACAGTTACCAGGAAATCAAAAGATAGAAAACAGCTATCCTATCAATGTGAACTGAATACACTTGATCATGCATTTGTAAGTATTTGCTTGCAGAACTGATGCAGTGGTCTGACTAGCTACCGGATACTGAGAAGGGGTGAGCTAGAGGTCAACCCTGCCCGCAAGGTACTGAGTTATAAGTAATACAAATTATGCACAATAAACAGCTGCATCCCTAACTTCCATGACAACCATAGTTCAGATCTACCTTGCCTAACCTTTCCCCCTCCAGAATGGAGCTGATGGGAATTGTACTACAAACATCTGGCAGATACTAAGTTGGTGAGGACTCTTTTAAATTACTGTGAACAAAACACAGTGGGCCTTAAGTATGAATGTTCCCCTTTCCTCCGCCTCATGTAAGCAGGTGTGAATCCTTCTGCTTCACACTAGAACAAGCAACAGTCATGTCATGTCTTGTGGAACTGTGGTTTGTTCTAACTGAAATCAGTTAACGAATAAGAAAACCAAGCCACCTTCATTTCACTCCTTGTTTACACTCTGCTTTTCCTTTCCAATGAATATTCAAATCAGCTATGTAAACTGCTACCACAATATCACTAAGAAAAATAAAGCAAGAAATAACACTCCAGGGACATACATAATTAATCTAAAAAAAAAAAAAGTAATTGGTATCTATTTCATATAAAATATAAGAGTATTAACATCGGAATACTAATAAACATCCCTACACATGCATCCCAAATCCAATATTATCCCAGAAACATAGAAAAGATTTCTAACAGCTGTAAATTAAGTTATAAAAAAGTGCACAGTTAAATAGAACTGCAGTAAGACAAAATAAGTAAATAAGTAAAGGTAAAGGGACCCCTGACCATTAGGTCCAGTTGTGGCCAACTCTGGGGTTCATCTCGCTTTATTGGCCAAGGGAGCCGGAGTACAGCTTCCAAGGTCATGTGGCCAGCAAGACTAAGCCACTTCTGGCGAACCAGAGCAGCGCACAGAAATGCCGTTTACCTTCCTGCCGGAGCGGTACCTATTTATCTACTTTCAAGTTTTGGCGTGCTTTCGAACTGCTAGGTTGGCAGGAGCAGGGACCGAGCAACAGGAGCTCACCCCGCTGCGGGGATTCGAACCACCGACCTTCTGATCAGCAAGTCCTAGGCTCTGTGGTTTAACCCACAGCAACACCTGCGTCCCATAAGTAAATAAGTACTGGAGCAATAAAAAGCTCATGCTTCATACAATTAACCCATCCCACCCTACCCACATATCACAAGTCAAAGTTCAACAATAAACTAAAAACATTGGGACTCTGGATATGCAGCAGCCCTCGCCCTCATCCTGGGCCATTACCTTCTGTCTCCTGCAAGAGACTACAATCCCATCATCCCTAAATATTGACCACGCTAGCTGGAGCTGATGAGAGTAGTAGCCAACAAAACCTACAGGGTACCATGGCCCTAACAAAGCCTTCTCTCACAAGAAAGATCCAGGGGACTTGCATCAGAAAGGAGAAGAGCACTCTCACCTCTACATGCTACATGAAGAAGCAATGTGCAAAAGGGGAAACCCGTCAGTCAACCCACCACCTGCTCATGTAATATACAGCCTCTTCCGCAGAAGCTGCAGCAGGATGAATGCTCTTCAGCAGATGTATTGCTAGTTCAAATAAGAGAGTCTTCTGCAGTGTTAGCATAGGTGGTTTCCAGGCTTATATGCAGTGAAGGTGGCTTAGAGCAGGGTTTCCCAAGCTTGGGTCTCCAGTAGTTTTTGGACTACAATTCCCATCTTCCCTGACCAGTGGTCATGCTAGCTAGGGGTGATGGGGGTTGCAGTCCCTGTGTTGCTGAACTGCATCTCCTAGTAGTTCCAGCACCATGACTAATGGCCAGGTATTATGACTTATTGTTCAGAAACATCTGCAGGTTTAAAGGTTCCCCACATCTGCTTCACTAGACCAGGCTTTACTAGATCAATCTACTAATATCCAGACACTGCACTGCTGAATTGAGATTTCTGCAATGTACAGTCATGCATTTCTCTGAAAACTGCATTTATTAATGCCTCCCTGTATACAACTACAGACAAACCATTTTTAAAAAGTTGCAGCTACTTGTTTTTGTTTTTTTCATTGTATCTGTAAGAAATGGCAATATATCCCCACCCACATCCAGCCTACCAATTCATTTGCTTTAAACGTGGTATAAATAAACAAATAATTATTTCATTTGGGAATATTCAACATGTTAACAAAGTAAACAAGTCATTTGGTTTTTTAATTTCAGGCTGCAGGTATTTGTAAGCTGACAAGCTATCATCAGCTGCTTAAGACATTTTTATTAGCCAGACACTTCAATAATTATTTTGTATGGCTTGAATTGTGTTAATGTACAATGCCCTGATATTTATAATATAGCAGTATATACATACTTGTATAAATAAATATAAATTCCTTTTAATAAAATATTAACTTAAATTGAGAATAGCCTGTTCACTATGCATAAAAAATCTAAAACACTCCTTTAAGTTGCTGTATTTTCTCACTTTACTATGATTGGCATTTAAAGGGGAAACAAAAGATGCTGTATTGAAAAGGGGAGGGGAAAATAAGTGTTAGTTTATAAACTGATGCAGTCTTGAAAAGCACTAAACCAACAGAAGAGAAAAGCAGAACTGATCCTATGCACTGAATTTAATAAGACTTGCTCCCTGTAGAAGTAATGCTGCGATGCTGCATCAATTGGGTTTGCCTTACAAATATCAGTTGCAGCCAGACTTCAGCGCGCCTCCCAACAGCATCACATGTTATTTGATGCCTACCCAATTCCCCTTTCAGAAGCATAATGAAATCATAACTGCGTCTGCTGCCAAAACCCTGGCAAGGTGAGGCGGAAGCACCACTTCCGGTACTGACCGGGTCTCACCATCTCCGAATCCGAAGCCCGGTACCGTAACTTGCAAAATCATGCACAGGGAGGCAAGGTTGAAAAAAGGGCAAACAGACTGAGCTGCAGGCAGCATCGTCGAGGAGGGCAAACTCCCGTTGCGCAGAGTTAAAGGCAGGAGAACTTCCCACCGAGGCCACCTTCCTGCGCCTGCGCAATACCCCGCGCGCGCCCCTCCCCCGCGCGCCCCGCCCCTCATTTCCTTACCTGAGCAGGCAGCAGGAGCTCCCCTTCCTCCGCTTGCCACAACTCCACCACGTTGGGGATGGGGTCCATGGCTAGGGGCGAAAACAAAACAAAAAGCTCTTTGCAATTTCCACCAGCAACAAGAGAGGGGGACGTGCAGAGGCCTTGGCCTCGACCCACACGCACAGGGCGCGAGAGAGTCTCCTCTGGGCTCGCGGGCCTTTCACAGCCAGAGCGCTGCAGGCAGCAGAAGCAGCAGCAGGAGGCTGGGCTTTGTTTTGTTTCGTCCCTGAGACGCTTCCATATTAAAACGCTCCTGCTGCAGCAGCAGCAACGTGCGAAACGCAGGCAGACCCGGCGCACAAAAGGGGCGTCGGAAGCCAGGGTTTTGTGGGGGGGGGGGAGTTGACGGAAAGATCAGCCTGGGGCCGAGTCCAAACAAGGGCCTCCTCTTCCTCCAAGCGGTGACCCGCGAAGGCTGCAGACAGGGCGGCATCGCCGACGCCGCCTAAGCAGCAGCAGCGCGAGCCCGTGCAGCGGCAGCGCGCCAGGGAAGGAAGGAGTCCCGCATTGTGGGCCGCCGCCGCCGCCCGCTTTTTTTCCCCGCCGCCTGTCACAAGGTCGCGGCCGCCCTTCGGAGTCCAAACAAAGCGAATAAACAAATAAGAAGCGAAACGGCAGGGCGGACGAGGCAGGAAGAGGAACTCCGTCGCCTCAGCGGGGCTGGGAACCATTAAGGCGGCAGCGCAGAGCCGCTGCACAAAGGCAGGATGGGGAGGGCGGCTCGTGGGGGCCCGTGTGGGGGTCTCCCTTCGTTCCAGCCCCGTTTTACCTCAGCGCCGCTTTGCAAAAAGCCCCCCTCTCCTTTCCAAGCTGGCCGCCTCTTCCAGCCATTCATTCTTACCTTGGCCCTGCGCTTCTCCCGGGCGAAAGCAGGGCAAGAGGACCTGAAAGACGCCGAGCAGGAGGTTCATGGCCGTGGCCGCGCGGCAGTAGCTGCTTTGCGGCGGGTAGCGCAGCCCCGCCATGCTGCCTGGTCTCGGCTCGCTCGCCTCGCCTCGCCTCTGCGCTCAGGCTCGGAGCTGGCTGGCCGAGCTACAGCTGTTGCTGCTGCTGCGGTGGCGGCCGCCGCCTCCCTCTGCTGCGCGCGCGTGTGCGACACAGATAGGGAGGAAGAGAGCGCGGCGAGGCGCGGGGTGGGACATGGTCAATGAGAAGGCAGCTTTCCCCTCCTCGCGCTGGGCTCCGCCCCGCGGGGGGAGGAAGAGGCGGAGGCGCTGCTCTTTCCCCAGAGCACATGGGAAAGCGAGCCAGGCCGATGCGCACGAGGGGAAAACAGAAGAGAGCGGGGAAGGCCCTCGGCAGACGGAGCGGGCCACAGCTTGAAGCCCCTGCTCTGCGCCAGAAGAACGGAAGCCCCTCCAGAGCAGGCACCCCCCCCCAAACAGGGCTGGGGAGGAAATTCCCGCCAGTCATGATGACTCCAGAACCATACCCAAGTTATTTGACCCCAGAAGCATTTACGATTGTTTATTTGTTGTCCTCTCAGGACCTCTGGGTGGCTTGACGTGGTAAGCCTTGTTCTCCAGCCCTGCCAACCATTTTATAAGCACAGTGATTCGATGAAATATGCGTCTGAAAAACTGGTCCGAGATCAGAGCGAGTTCCCATGGCTGAGGGTTAGGCTGCATGCATGCCATACATTTCACACACACAATTTTTTTTGGGAGCTACAATTCCCAGTGCCCTGAAACTAGAGTTCCCATGCGGGGGACGGAAACGGTCAATGTGCTTTAAATGTATGGTGTGCATGCAGTCATCTGCCAAGTCTTACTTTGTCCAGCACGTTAACCCCTGGGCCACACTGGCTCTCCAATTACAGATGCAGTGTGAATCTCATGAGACACATAACTTCTGATTCTAGATGAGAAGGACTTTCCAGTTTGATTTCATGAGGGTCCCCCTTCATATTCTGATGTTGGAACACAACACAGTACAGTGGTACCTCGGGTTTCATACGCTTCAGGTTACATACACTTCAGGTTACAGACTCCCCTAACCCAGAAATAGTGCTTCAGGTTAAGAACTTTGCTTCAGGATGAGAACAGAAATCGTGCTCTGGCAGCGGCAGCGCGGCGGCAGCAGGAGGCCCCATTAGCTAAAGTGGTGCTTCAGGTTAAGAACAGTTTCAGGTTAAGAACAGACCTCCGGAACAAATTAAGTACTTAACCCGAGGTACCACTGTAGAGGGTCTTGTTGCAGCTTAAAAGACTACACTGTGCATCCCGTCCACAAAAATGTCTGCCTTCTTGAGGTACCACACGACACACGCTTATATTTTTGCTGCAACACCCAAACACAAAACAATGTATCTGAATCTTAACTGGCTCCAGATAATATGTTGCTACCTCTTTATCTCTACCTACAAAGCGCACAGGAAGGGTTATTTGAGAACATTATGAGCGTTAAGAAACATTTTCCCTAGTTGATAAATCATCTACCCACACACATGCCAATATTATACAAATTTAAAACAAAGTATTGCTGAGTTCAGAGTGAGGTATTGGCTGTTTAGAATGCAAATACCAAGTGCAAACAACACATTAGAGGCATTGCTCAGTGACAGCAGTTCTGTAGCAAACATTTGCCTGGCTGGGCATTATTCCGTTTCATAGGTGATCAAAACTCACACCAATAAAATAATAATAGTAATATTATAATGCCTCCTACAAATTCAGCTCGCAAATTTTAGAACTTTCAAAACCTGAAAAACAAAAACACCTAGTCTATGTCAGCAAAGATACTGCACTCATTCGAAAACAACAGCAGCAAAGAGGTGGCATTTCAGTAGGTTAGGCTTCGACAGCACTCTGGTGTCAAGTACAAATGAAATATTATTTAAAAGGTGGGCTCTTGTGGTTGTTCCATCTTCATACCAACTTTGTGGTCAAAGCAGAATTAAAACTAGAGGGGGGAAATATTAATGGGATATTTTAATTGAATGTTGTGCTTCACCCCACCCCACCCCAAAGAATAGGCCAATTTACTCCCAGTTTGAGGCTTGCTTTCCTCCTAGCAGTCTTGCAGATGGATGGAATTGTCTCTTTATTCCATGGGTAGGCAAATTAAGGCCTGGGGGCCGGATCTAGCCCAATTGCCTTCTAAATCTGGCCCACAGATGGTCCGGTAATCAGCATGTTTTTACATGAGTAGAATGTGTTCTTTTATTTAAAATGCATCTCTGGGTTATTTGTGAAGCCTGCCTGGTGTTTTTACATGAGTAGAATGTGTGCTTTTATTTAAAATGCATCTCTGGGTTATTTGTGGGGCAAAGGAATTTGTTCATTTCCCCCCCCCAAAAAAAAAATATAGTCCAGCCCCCCACAAGGTCTGAGGGACAGTGGACTGACCCTCTGCTGGAAAAGTTTGCTGATCCCTGCTTTATCCCTTTCCATCGCCTCACATAATCTCTTATTCCTCCAAGACTAGGGTAGGGATTTATTTTTTTTCCAGCCTCAGGGCTGCATTCCCTCAAGGGGGAATTTCTGGGCTGACCCCACCCTACCTGCATGTCAGGGGTAGGTGAGGCCAGAGGCAAAAATGGGCTACATTCCAGCTTCACCAAAGGCAGTGTTTACACACACACACACACACACACACAACACACAAAACCCCTCTATTCAGACAAGCAAGAGACATTGTCCCAGTTCAAGGCCACATTCTAGCCAGGCAGACGCACTTGAGGAGGGTGTGGGAGCAGGACCAATGATGGATATGGCCTAGGGAAGAGTCTCCAAGGCCAGACAGGGAGGCCTAGGGAGCCCCACCCTTGAAGTTCTCAACCCCTGATCTGTGAACTCCACAATGTTAAAGCCAGAAACAAGCTCTGAAACGCAGAGGTAGGTGAGCAAGCTCCCAACACGAAGTTCCACTTGCCCTCTTCAGCAAACAGTGAGCCCCACCCTTTCTTAGATCACGGATAATTGCTGGTTCACAGTTGCTTTAAATTCAGCATTCAAAAACTTTAAACTAATTTCTGTTCACTTAAAAAGGCACGCCCTGAGTACGTGCAAAGAGATAAAGGGGTGCTTAGTTTTCCCTTTCTGTTTTTTTAAAGCAGAAGAATACTTTGTCAGAAAGCAGCCCCCAAAGATGCAGAGAGAAGGGGGAGAGCAAGAGCGATTCTTTTTTTTAAAAGCAATTATTGTTTCTTCTGCCAAGATATATTAGAATTGTGGTTTCTTTTCTATACACTGCACAATTACGTAGTATTTTTATGTATTTCTTAGACTCCTTTTGTTACATATATGTGTATCAAAGCTTTGCAGAAAGTAGTTCATATGATTCTATTTTTGTGTGCATTTGCCATTTTTAAAATGCAAAGGATAGAAAGAAATAGAGGGGCAGTCATACAATTAGGTGTTTAGAAATGTGTTGTTGTTTTTTAAATACAGTGGTACCTCCGGTTAAGTACTTAATTCGTTCTGGAGGTCCGTTCTTAACCCGAAGCTGTTCTTAACCTGAAGCACCACTTTAGCTAATGGGGCCTCCTGCTGCCACCGTGCCGCCAGAGCATGATATCTGTTCTCATCCTGAAGCAAAGTTCTTGACCCGAGGTACTATTTCTGGGTTCAGGTCTGTAACCTGAAGCGTATGTAACCCGAGGTACGACTGAAATAATATTGCTTTTCCTTAGAAAAGCATATATAAAAGCTCTATTTCCCTTCTTTAAATGCACCCATTACTTGACAAAATAAATTGTTTGTGCTGTGTATTGTGAACATTCTGTATATTTAAAAATATAGTTCTGTTTCAGGGTTTAGTCAGGGAGCACCTTGCTTTCTGCAGAGTAGCGTGCATCAAACATATGGCTGTTTCCATCCAGTATCGGGGATTCCCCTGACTGATTGTGGAGACTTAACTTAATCAAGCAAGGCACAGCCTGCAGGCTAATCACTTTCCCCCAGCCTAAAACAGTGTCTCAATTTGTATGCACCTGCAGCAATGCAAGAGTCACTTCCCCATTACGTAACTCCACATCTCTCTGAGAGCCTAACTACATGCTACTTTAACAATCTGATTAGCAATCATGGCCTGGGTGTTTTGAAATGAAATACTTAAGCATGGGGACCCCCAAGGGATCATCATCTGCTATACTGTTACCACCAACACCCCCAGAGTGGCAATTAGAATGGGAGGGGGCTCCCAATGACATAATTTTTCCTGATGCCAATTGCTATTGGGGATTTTTTACTGAGATCACAGCAGAAGAGGGGAGTCTCTATGAATTGCAGTACCAATGGCAGCCACTTACACCTAGTATTAAATTTCAAAACACCCGGGACATGATTTCAGTGTGTGATTGAAGCACTCACATAGGTTGGGGTGGGGCCAGACCTCTAATTATGTGGTATACCCACACTAATGGCCAGTAGACAGTCGTGCATTTATGTTTACTGAAAAGCATATACCCCATGTTTGCATTCAATTTACATCACATTCCAAAACAACAACAATAAAATCGGCTGACGTGCCACACAAACCCAGGGCCAAAGAGACATGCAGTCAGTAACATCACAGGAAAGCAACTAAAACAACTGGCAACCCCCTGAAGTATTTGGGAGAAATAACAGTTTTCACTTGAAGATCTAGGAGTAAGAAAGTTCTGATTTGCAGAAGACATTGAGAATTTGGATGGGGAGCCCATGGAGTGGAGATGCTTTCAGTGGGCATAGGAACCACTGTTCACATTAATGCAACAGCGGCACTCAGCAAACGTGTGGAGAGGGCTCTCTACAAGAGGGTTGCCTTAACTGAGAAGGCTCTGTTCCTGGTTCCACAGCTCTCAAGTACCCATTTAGGATTTTAAAGGCTAAATCCAGGACTCGGAATTGTGCCAGTGGAGGCTGGTCCATTAGAGCAAATGGGGCACAGTCCCACTAACCTCTGCCTGTCATCAGCCTGTCACCACCTGCCTGCCTTCTTACTTACTTACAATCTAGGAGGCGACCCTGCTTGCTGTCCGCTTCTCAGTTTTGCCCTTGTTAAACTCAAAGGGAAGAGGATGTCCTTGACTCTGGCACCAAGGATTGCTCCCATCTGTGCTCTCCACCCTTCTGGTCCCAGAAGACACACCCAGCCATCATTGGTGCCAAGGAAGAAACAAAAAGCCTGTGATCAACACTGTGGAGACATGACTGGTGCAGCCCAACCTAGT